CACTTGTTAGCTTATTACAATGCATCGTGTTTGGTTTCGTGTATGAAGTAGGTAGTGGTATACCATCTATCCGGGGACGTGTGTTCAGGCGCGAATGCCCGCCCCATTATTGTGCAAGAGAAAGGATTACCTTTAAAACATTGCCAACTATCGTCATTTATACAACCCACATTCAGGACTTGTATTTTTCTCATCTCCTTGTCATTTACTTGTTTGTGCAAATTTTTAACGCGGGAAAAGGCTAAGCTGGTTAAGAAGTTATTGAAAAATGTGATAATTAGGATAGCAACTCTAGTTGAACGTTTTTTGAAATAAAGATTCGAAGTTAAAAGGGTGGGATTTAATTACTAAATGGCTTTAGAACTTCAGGTGAAACAAAGCGAGCTTATTTTAAAGTCTTGAATAAGGTCAGATTATCATAAAATTGACTGAATGCCCTGTCAGTTTATTCGGGTAATCACGTGGCTCCACCTAACCTATTTTTGCGTGCAGGCGCATCCTCCTCATCTTTGAAATGGGGTGCGAGGCGCCATCGAACTCACAGAAGAAGCAACTTGCCACTCCCGTTCTGCATTGGAAAGAATCACTGGCCGTTTGATCTCTTTGGACTAGTCAGTGATTTAAAGCACAGACTATCTAGTGCCAATCGGTTTAGTATAAAGCGGACTACCAAAGCTGGCTCCAGCGAAACCGCCTAGTTGACGCTTCTACAAAAATACCATTTATCTGCGTTCCTTTAAACTTGAGAAAACTGAGTCGAAAGGGCATGCTCTTTGTAAGTCCATAAGTCATACGGGTAGCTTCAGACTATAAGGAGGAGTCACTATTTTGATGCTGTAAAGACGACTGCGCAGGATTCCTTGCATGCATTTAGCAACGAATGGTAATTACATATTTTAAAAATGCCTTGGAAATCACATCAACGTTCCTTCAGAACTCCTGCAAAATCAACTTCTCTGACGTTTATTCGTTTAAATAACCGATTGAGAATGCAATCATTTGGCAATTATTTGGTTAAGGATTGCATGTTTCCTTCCAACCCTACTAATAGCTACTCTGTTTTATTAATTAAACGCAAAACGTTCCACTTAACTGATGTTGAGTGTTCTGAGGAATGCTGCCCTATCATTAAATGTGCTCAACCTTAGCTGCCTTTTAATTTAAATGTAAAAAATATTAACTTTAAAAATTTAAAATGATGTAAGAAATGTTTTATCTTTGGTTTCTTTTGTAGGCCACGTATCTGGTCATATTAAAAGGAAAATTTGGTGGTATATTACGTTTCTTTTTAGTTTAAATTTATTCTCACAATTGCATGAGAAAAGGAAACTAGTTCCTACCATTAAACATGAAAAAGCAGTAAGTCATCCACAAATCATGTTTTTTTCCGTTACGAAAGAGTACCGTTGGTAAAAACATAACCATCCGATTACTTCCGTAACCCCAATTCGTCGGAAGACGAAGGCATAATTGCATTTCACTTCCGTCAAAGGGAAAAATAGGACTCTAAAGTGTCCGCCCATCACATAATGAAACCCTCTTTTTGGTCTCGGACCGAGTGTGTGGTTGTAATTCGTTCATGCACTAATGAATGGGTAAGTGAAGTGGACCTCGAACTAATGTAGCTTCCCAAGCCTTTTTTAAAGTCGTAAGAAGATCTACTGCAAGGATAGAAAGTGCTATGTCGACACACTAGGGGACTGGTGAGGCAGGCAACATGGCCTAGAGATCATGCTACTCAACAGACACATAAAGAAGGGAAGTTGAGCGCTTGCTCAAAGTGCGAAGCCGCAACATGGCCTCATCTTAGTCTATTTTGCTAGTCCGCGGATGCCATCAAGAGATTGCTCCTTTAGATGAAATCGAATGAACTCGAGAACTATTACCGTGTGCGCAAATTACCTCCTGTATCGTTGGCTTATACAGAATAAATGAAAGTGCCTTCGAGTCATTTCAATCCTCCCTCTAATTTCATTAAATCAGCTTTGAAAGCATCACATCATTGCTTTGTCTTCGATTGTTGGTTTTCAAGGCTCACGGCAATTAACACCCACATCAGTGCTCCATTTAAACAAGTGCTATTCTTTCTTACTTTTAATCATAGCACAAAATATTTATCTGTCCATTAAGCTCGTCATATAAAATGTAAGCACTATGTAAAGAGTTATTATAGATTAAAATGTATTGGAAGTTTTCTTTTGCAAAGGCATGGACTGTTAACCTATTTTTTATGCTTTTCATTTCCCTCTTTTCTTATCCATCTCGACTACCTGATATAATCTACATAGTGTAAAGTTAACCACAGTATTAGTGGTGGCTATAAGCTACTCATTTTTAAGGAGACGACAACTCATTTGCTTGAAGTTGATTCACGTCAAAACTTCATTGGCGGAAGACTCTTGTTGTAGATGGCGGAATTTAGCAAGTACTCGTGAATACGCAGACCCAAAAATACGATGCAAATTCAACAACTGTCCAAACTCACATAAGTAGGAGTGGGTAACTAAAAGAGGAACGAATATTTTGTCGCCATTACAGGAGTTGACACCCACTTTGAGTTTAGATGATTGACGAATGGCAAGTAAGCGCCGCATAATAGCCGAGAAAGGCATGCCAGGCAAAAGATATTATAAAGCCTTAATATTAACACACTGAATTGCCTTTTAATTCCTCTGGCTTTTAGGCAAACGTTTCACACTAATGTACAACTATAATGCATTTCTTAGGAAGAATTTGTGTCGAAAGAAGTATTTTGACGCCCGAAATTGTTCGCTGTAGTCCGTGGAAGATAGTGCAAAAAGACGGCAATACTTACGCAATACTTCAACCGCTTTGAACTCCTCATTTTAAGTTATACGGTTTCAATAAATAATTCAGACTACAAGGCATTTGATGAGTAGTTTACAATAACTGACATCGACATTTCAGTTGAGCCTTGGGCAGTCTCGTGATGCAGCACATGGTCTGCAACGCCTCATGAATAATTTTAATCCAGTTGCCTATTTTGCTTAAAAAACCCCAATGATTGGGAAACTAATCAGGTGGGGTAAACGCTGCTTCACGACGATGGGAAAGGCCAAACAGCCCGTAAAGATTTCGTTTCCTTCCAGAAGCCTTATCAAATCAGGAAGTTATTGTTCTTTTTATATGCTCTCCTTGAGGAGCATTACGAGTTGGGCTTTTTCCTTGATTTACATTTTAGAACTTTGTCGCCATGTAATAGTATGGTAAGGAAAAAGTCTTTTTGTTATCGCAGATGGAGCATAACTTCCATTAGCAACAGTGCAAGTGGGGAGGTTTCAGCTTTCATTGAACTGATTTTGATTTGAAAGATGATTCCACGCAGGATTACAAAGAACACGATTGTTTTCTTTTTCAAAATGGAAAACACAGTCGGTTTTTAACTCTTTTTAGACGGTATTATTGCATGGCCATAATTAAAATCTTAAATTGCAGAACTACCAGCCATCGCTCCCGCACTAATACTTGGATGTTACTACTTGCACTAGATTGGCACAATGTTTGTCCCACTGTTTCCATTCCGGCATCTGGTTGTACGACTTAGCACCAACCTCCTGCAGTGCCAGTGTCTCGATGTTTTCCGACCATCTCCTGCCAGCTAAGGTCTATCTTGGTATTTCGATTGCCCCTCTTAGAGTACCTTTAATGGTACTTTGGTACTTTTTGGGTGCTGGGCCACCAAGGTGGATAGACCCACTCCGTCAACTTCAAATGACCTTACACAAGCTACTTTTTCTAAAAAGTCCAGCCGTGTAACCTTTTAAAAACTGTGCGCCTGGGCGACGTAGCCTGACAGTTGACAAGTGCAAGTGTCAATGACTGCGGCTACTCCGAGGCTAAGCTTCTGACACATTTCAAAAGGCGAATCGAACCGTTATGGCAACAATTTTACCACTGATCAAAAACATAAAACAATATAAAATAGTATAAATTCAAGAGCCCTGAAGATCACACACAATTCGCCGAATGTGATCGCCATCCTTACATGCGTATTAAAAGTAAATATATGGAATTTGATGTCTCTCCACTTCTTTTATTATCCGTTAGTCAAACTGGTGATATTTGTACGTCGCAAAGATCTCGCAAGAAATCTTCTTTTAGTTGCAGTCATCAATCTTCTCGTATTTTATAACTTTTAAAACTGGGAATTTCAGTTTTATTGTTGAAGGAGTTAAACATTGAAGTAGAATTTGCACATGTTGAATCTCTATTTTCGCCCTTCTTCCACAGTTAAGTAAATTAGCAACAATCTCTGGGTGCTGAAAAAAAAATTATAATTTCAACTAAATCAGCTACTAAAGCCAACCAATAAATCCTTTGACAATGACGACTATTTTGTGGGATTGGAGTATAGGTCAAGGCAAAACCGCGCTTGACGAGGTGCAGTCGTCTTTGAAGAGATTTTGCAGGCCATGCGCTTCAGCGCTACACTACGGTCTACTTTTGCGTCTGCCCCGACCTTATCAGTACCGTGCGCACTTCTGATTGACCACCTCGTGGGCGAAACAGACTGAAGTAGGTTGGCATGAGTCGCATCAATCATGATTTGTGCAACAAGCGTCACAAGGGATGTCAAAGCACTGTTGTCATTTGTTATTGAACACAGTGCCATTACAGCCGTGTTCCTTCAATAGAAAGATTTAGTGGCTGTTGGTTTGGCTTTATCGTTTTGTAACTACATTTTTGAAGATTGATTCATCGGAATTTGCGGAGACTAACAGAAATGGTAAATGAGAAGTACGTTCACAACTCAAAATGGTGCAGACACTATCGATGGCACCCTACCAGCCTGTCATTTAAACGAACACTGAATTTGATGCACTACCTCAAAACTTATTTCCATCATTACTGGCCTTAAATTCAAAGTGCCAATGGATAAGCCGGTAGTTGTGATTTAGAGATATTTTTAAACAAAGCGTTTGAAAAATCTCAAATTTATCACTACAGTGGCATTGGAGATGCTGGTTCGGCATACGCATTTACCATAAAACAGCAATGGAACTGTCCACTCTCCGCGGGCGCAGCATTCTGCCAAGAGCGCTTCGAAAACTCTTACTCAGCATAATGTGGAGCAGCGGAGTGATAGCGTGAACCGATAGATGAGCCAACAACACCCAGGAGCTAGGTGGTAAGAGGTTGTACACCACTAGAAAAGTAGGCGTCTCCATGATGTAGAAAGTGAGAGTCCCTGCGCCTAGAATGAGGCATTTGTGGAAGTTCTTTCTCACCACTGTCTGCCAGAGACTTGAGTGCGTTGATTGTCCACTTCCAATCGACGAGCGGTGTTCATCAGGCTGTATAGAAATTCTGGAGACCGTAATAATGGCCACGTGAATGTGTTTCACTATAACTGCATACATTATAATCGTAGCAATCCAAGTAACGACAAATACACCCAGCGGAAGTGTTAAAACAAGTTGAATTTGAGTTATACTGTTCTCTAACTTAGTGTTCTTCTTTCCTGCTCCAATTTCATACAGCGTTTGGAAAAGTTGTTTGAAGATTACCACAACAGTGAGAGATGCGTGAACTCCACAGACAACCACTATCAAGAGGAAGGTGCCCCAAAGTGGATTACGTTGTAATTTAAAGGTAAGAGGAAACACGAGACTAAGAAACTGAATAGTTGTGTTTACGAAGAAGAAGACTGTCATAAAGAGAATCTGAAAAACGCTCCATGCTAAGCAGATCAGCACGATCCAGTTGTCTGCGTCTGCACTGGAAGTTCCACCGCAAACATTCAGCACCACAAGAGGTACAAAAGCTGCGCAAGAAATAAGACTGAATATGGCTATCGCAAAGATAACGTGAGAGTATCTAAATTTGGCTTGACCGGACAGAGCACTGAAGTAGCTGAACCGATTCTGTGGTGTGATGTTCACCTTGAAGGGATTGGCTCCAACAACGGATATGCGTGACAGGCTGCGAGCCCGGCCGGTATAGAAATCGTTTTCACGGCTGTATCGCAAACGATGGAGAACATTTGCCAAGATGATGCAACAGTTGGCACTCAAGCCAACTGAAGCCATGCACGAGCAGAGGGTAATGAAAATGATACGCTCTACACCCACCAGATTAAGTCGAAAAAGATCCAAAAAAGTTTGCGAGGATTCATCCACCGAAAAATCTTCCAACAGTGCATCAAGAGCCTCCTCCTGATTTGAATTGTTGCCAAACATGTTGACTGCACGTGATGTGTATTGATTGCATCGCGTGAGAGGCTCTGAATTCGGCTTCTCCATCCAACCTTCGTTGTCAACCATTAAACAGTGGAGTGAAAATTTAAAAACATTTTGTTTGCCATCCTAACAACCCCTTTGTGAAGCGAAAGCTCATAATAGTCTATTATTTTGAATTATTTGACTAATTTGACTGCCTTTTATGACAGCGATACTGTGACTGCCTCCAAATTGCACAAGACCTAATCCTCCACTTAGATTTTCTTCTCTGTGGTTGAAGTTGGTACAGCATTTGCGTGGTGCACTTTTTCTTGCAAATAACTAAGGCCACCAGAAAACTAATCGTTGTCAAGCCAACATCCCTAGTATCCATTCATGTCTTTTTGTTTGAAGGACTTCGAGTCTACGACTGAATGCTACCACATTACGCCATCGCAGAGATCACGTAGAGATGGTCACATCACATCAGAAAGTGACAAAACCTATCCTTTATAAGCAGCACTCAATCTCACCTACTTCCTCAGAACTTGCGAATGCATTTTAACTTCTCGAGCCACTTATAGCGGGGAATTTGCTCGCCTTAGATTATAATACTGACGGCTGGATTATTTGGTGCACCACCTTATTTAGCTTTTGTTGGTAGTATTTATTAGAAGACAAGAAGTGAGTTACCTAATCACAATACAGCTCACCGCCCTTAAGTGAACCCGTGAAAAATATCCCAGGAGATATTTCTGTTCCTCTTCAAACTTCAATTTGTGTTTGCTTTGAAGTTTCAGTTACTTTTATTGTGGAGCCTTTCCTAATAAGGATGCGTACTTTAAAAAACGTTGAATTTAAGGTTTTTTACAAGCCCTTGTGACGAGCCAGCCAAAGAAACGTAAAGCCACAGAGCAATTGCAGCCATTGAGGCTAACTGAGTTAGACTTCTTTCTTCTTAGTCAAAGACGTAAGTTTTTTTCAGCCTGGTTCTCAACTGCATACAACAGCCAACTTTGTTGGTACTGGTGTACAGTGAACCTCACAACGAATCGCCTGATAGACTGACCTCGAATTAGGAAATACTCCTTTGATGTCTTGCTGGACTGTTAAGCACTCTTCTCTTTGGCAAATCGACCCAATTAATGAGGTAGTTGTTCGAATTCCGGAAACCACGTAAGTGGAGCACGAATAGCTAGCCATAAAAAGAAGTCGTGTCAGAATTTTTGCATTATGTGATTTTAGTGTGTCAAAGCAAAAGCGGAATTAGTTTGACACTTGTTGGTACATTCAACGTCAGTACAGGTAATGTTTCGACAGCATCATTACGTTAACATCAATCTTAGAGGCATCTGTCTTGCAGTAACATTCGAATCCGGAATACTGAAGTTCCAGATTAAAATAGATCATTTGCAACGGTTTTCGCGGGATGTGCGGTTGGAATAGCTACCAGGTAAGCTGAGGATTTTTTGTTTTAATCGCATAACAGAAGGTGATTTAATTTTGGATTGCCAGTGTTCTTCTTTAACATGCGCCAAATGCCCCGTTACACGGCCAAGAAAACAGGACAGTTGAAGCGGGACAGCAACTCCACATAGCACCAATGAAAATTACCATTTTACAATACTGTTCTTGGGCCTTACTGTTGCTCTCGTAATCACAAGACAGTGGTCCACCTTCCGTGGTGAGGTCGGCTCCGGGACCGCACGTGCTGACCTCATGGTCAACAGTCAATAGTTTGTTTCTATCCAAGGGCACATTGGCATGGCCTCTACCACGAATCACTCCTCTCCTCCCAAGGAAGCTTCAGCCAATAATCAAACAGGAAATTGGTTAAAGCTTTATCGCTTTAACCTCCAAGGCGATGAAGCGATAATCTTTACCGTTTTCATCTGCATCATAATCATACTTGGTGTGATTTTTAACCTCTCCATTTTTATTTTGTGCATGTGCTACAAAAGGAAGTATTGGCGCCGACACGATCTTTATACATCCAATTACATTTACAAAATATCGAAAATGCTGAGCTCGATGCAAAGGTTAGAGCTGTCTTCGCTAGTAAAGGCTGATGCCACCCGACCGATATGCTTTCTGGCTTTGGCAATGCAAGCACGACTTAGGTATATTCACGTTATCTACTTGAATGCTCTGTTCAATTTGTTGGCTTGCGGCTTCTTTCTTCCCTTCGTTGCAATGCGAATCAATGACTATGAGGATGTGGAATGGACCCATAGTGAGCAGTTCCTTCTTCTCTGCCAAGCCTTCAGTGTCTTTCAGGTGAACTTTCTCTCCTTTACGCTTCTCATAAATACATGCATAGTGTTTGTCAGCACTGTCTTTCCGCCTCAGTTTGCCCTCAAGAAAACCTCTTTCATCATACTCCTGACGGTAATTCTATTACTTTGCTTAGTTCACATGACCTGCACCCTTACTCTAACCATAAACCGTATAAATGAAGGTCTTTTTGCTGCTGAGGCAATCTCCTTTGAGGATCGTGTAGGAGCTCTAAAAATTGTGCTAATTGTTACGCTTGGTGTCTTCATAGGCACCTTTATTATCACCCTGATTCTCCACCTCCTTGTACACTGTCAAATATTCAGCGCCCGCTCCTTTTTGGATTACCTTGAAGACAGGCCGGTTGTTAATCTGTGGATAGAGATTCTTCGGAGCTGCAGCAACCATGCTTTCAACCTCTTTCTAGCCTCATTATTCTTCTATGCTCTTGAGGCACCGGCCTTTCTCCTTGCCTACAACCTCATCTCCTCGCATTGGTGGATATTGCTCTGTCATTGTTCTGTGCATATGTTTAACGCCCTCATTCATTTGCCTCTGTGTTCACAGCTTCGACATGCGGTTGACAGAAGCACTATTCGTGCTTGTCGTGAAGAGTGCCGCAGGTTGAAATGCCGGAGAAAACACAAATCATTGACGATTTCAGAGATAAGGGAATGAGAGTGAGAACAGAGCTAGCACATCCGTAAGATGAGGTATGTAATAATGAAGCTGAACACAGAAGTCTTGCCTTCACCCTTCTCACTCCTTGTAAAAGTGTTGACCATGCCTAAAAGTTTAAACTGAAACAATGAAGCTTAAATTTCACTGTTTTGACAACACTCTCCTTGCATTGCTCCTTTGTTTGCTTCAGCTGATCTCAAATTACTGTTCTGACGATATAAATTGTCTCTATGATTTGTAATTACAATTTGGCATTAATAAAGACAGAAAATATTGCAATTAATTGCAATAATTATGCTAATCATGTACATTCATTTGGATGAAGAAGTAATTCGTGCTTAAATCATCTCAGTGTTGCCAAAGTATTTCTCACACTTTCAAAGACTGTCATTACGTCTGAACAGGTTAAACCTTCCGATGCAAGTGGTTTTGAGTACAAAATTTTATAAAATAACCCCTTAATGTGGTCACTTTCAACAACCTGCCTTCCCCTCAAGTTTACATCAAAATTGCATTCAATAGCATAAACGCTTAACACCTTTTGAAAGGGTGCAGATTTTTTAACATTCGCACTAGCCATTGTGTAGATTTATTGCAATGGCACTAAAGAGTAAAGAAAGTGAGAGTCTGTATGATGATGAATAAAACGCCACCATGGTGGCCTGATGACCAGCTTGATAAGAAGCAAAAGTGTCGCATTTGCCTCGACAAAAGTATTGTAAAAAGGGCTCGATTCTACTTCCACATTTGTGACTGTTGTTTCTTTTTTGAGGCGTCTATTGGTTCCATCCTCTGTAAATGCTAAGAATTAAAGGGTAGTATCAAAATTTGTCTAGTCTAGTTTAGAGCATGAAATATATTATTGCTGTGAAGAGGACTGCTGCAATCACCAACTCTTACGTCACTCCTCTTCTGTTCGGAGGTCTGGTCTCAACTCTTACCTTAATCTTCCTCACCGACCATCGCTGGATACTCAAAAAAATAATATTCTCAGTCATCCATTTTTCTCGAAACCAAGACTCTATTCGGTGCTTGCGAAAGAGAAACATGATGGTTGACCTTAGGACGCAAAGTTGTAAGAGCTACATGAGGACATTGTTTACATCTGTCCATCTCTGTCGCTTTTTCAGAGCTGGATTCAATCAGACTGGTAAAGCGGTATCAGAAATGCTGTGAATTCACTTAGATGGCATCTTCATGCAGATATTGAAGGCAAATTTGTAGCGAACTTCTCTGCATGTTTCACTGGTTGTGTCACATCAGTAGGAAGTGCCGTTCTAGTGAAACACAGTCATCTTGAATCCTGCACTTCAGAATCGTCGTAGGCTCTACCATTGAATGCGTTGTTTAGCACTCGGTAGTAGAAGTTGGGATGGCTGTCCCTCTTGATCAGACTTGAGACCAGCTACTTGTAGACGAGAAATGGCATGCCGTCATGGCGAAATATGCTTTATCGTCGTAAATAAAGACTGAGTAGCAGCTAACATGGATTGACAGCCGCGCCGCCCAGCTGAATTACAAGATTGCGAACGTGTGTGTTCTGTTGCCAGAGTGAGGACCACAGCAGACAAACAAAGCATTGCTTCGGGTACATTTGCCCGACTAAAATCCCTTCAATATGGTTAAGCTGCTTTGTTAGTCCACTGACAATCGTTAATGTTGTTGTTTTAATCGGCCTTGTAGGTCAGAGGGAGGGTATAAAACAACTGCACTCTGAGTATAATCGTCTCTGCTTCTATGCCGTTGATTTCGTTCTGCGACATCAAATATGTTGCTTGCAAACAAACTGTCTTCTGCGGAAAGGAGGAGTTTGGGCCAAGAGGAGGTTGGCGCTACGGAGGCAATCAACGCTACTTGAGCCTTGTTCTAGACTGTAATTCCTCCCTTTTGATCTCGTATTGTTGGCCGTACCCCGGTTCATTGCCAGGCAGACTTTTTATAAGCAAACTCCCTCCTAAAGAAGCACCTAGGATGAACTAAGCCAACGACAATGTGAGGTTACGCTGGATGCCACCCATACCATAGGTGTAGCATCTCGGTAGAAGGCATTAATTTGAGCTGACTCCATGTGTTCTAAGAGAAGTGGAAGAAGAGGGGATAGGGCCTTGACTTGGTCCAAAAGTCAGGCCACGCATTCAAGGGCCAGACGAATAACAAAAGGCAACCACCAGCTATCAGATGGTCGCATAAACAAAGTATTACAGCAATATTTAGATGCACTAGGTTCCCTTCTATGCTGAAATTTGTGTGGGCCTATCAACTAGGTCAGCTTCACGAGGCGGCGACGGTCCTAACGCCTCCTGTCGTGGGAACATAGTGTGGTTTCTAAGCTGTTATCTCTAACATGTATCATGGTTTCTAAGGCGAGTGGTAACGTTTTCGACATTGTCACTTGCATATCTTCCACCCAATAGTATACCATCACAGAGCTTCACGAGACGTTTTGGACGTGATGGTCTCACCGGTTAACCATGACTACTTAGAGGGAAAAGTCAGCAAGTATCGTATGGCAGGATTTTTGGGAAGAGAGTGGAAATCAGAGAAAAGTTTAGGATAAAATAGCTTTCGATGTGTCGCCTTCTTCACTTCTTTATTCCAAATGCTCGATTGTTATTCCAAGTTTTTCAGCCCATACTAAATACCTTTTCAGACTCATATTCTAGTTAATCGTCCGGAGCGATGCTAATTAAATTCTAGCTTTGAACTGTCAAAATGATGTTTGGTCATGGATTTAACCATGAGGCATGACAAGGCCCAGCTGGGCATTGGATTGGAAAATTATCATTGGACTCTCGTGGACTTGAGCCTGGTGTTATTAATATCAACCGATCTAATGGAATGGCTCATCAATCACTTGGATTGCGTCAAGATACCACCCATTTGGGACATATTTTACAAACCGCAAGTTATAAGCATACGATGCACCCCCTTCCCCCCTAATTGACAAGAACAAATTAAAGCACCATGAACGTACCACCTTGTAGGGAGAAAGTACTCAGCTATTCTGAACGTTGCAGTTGGATGTTCTGTTCACTTTAATGCGAAGTCGAATGAATCTCAGATCCCGTATTTTATACTTCTGGCTAATGACATGCTCTTCAAGCCAACACTAACTCCTCAATCATTCGGTTCGAACTACAGCTCGGCTTCTCCAAAACTCATACCGTAGAACGGTACCCAGCCCGCCCTGACGTTAGTGCTGCTTGAATACCTACTCATACCGACGCCTCTGGCTGAATATGTACTGATCGTCTGACTTTTAAGCTTCAAACCTGGGAGGTTAGTGAGATATACAGCAAGCTCTCATTTTTATCTCCGCAGCTTTGAGATAACCGACGATCCGTAGCCGGATTTAACTTAAGGTGAAACAATAGCCTACCTAAGACTGATAGAGTAAAGTCAGACCACAACTGCAAACCACAAACACGACCCCTGAGCCGACTCTCATGCAAGTATCCCAAACCAAATGTACCATTCTACAATGAACCGAAGAGGTATTCAATTCGAGAGAGTCATGACATCACGCGACTCCATGAAAACGCATGGAAGTAGGACACAAATAGTGAGCACCCACACCGACATCCCAACGAAAAATGTGTTTCATTAATGCCAGAACGCATCGAAATTAAGTGGTAGTCCACTATTTAACCGTCTTTAGGCAAAGGCTGTCAAAATCCAGCCAAAGCCGAGAGCCTAAAACAACTGTAATAAACCCACCCAAGCACTAGTCCCACTAACGACCCGAGGGCGTCGATTACGAATACAGGTACTAATGCAGAAAAATCGCTTTACTAAGTACGCCAGGTACTCGCCTACTCACAATTGAGCAGCTACGCACTCAAAAACCAAGGCTGAACGAGTAAGATAAAGGCAAAAAGGGCATAAATATACATAAAGCATGCAATCATAATGACAGTTATAACAAGAGCTTCTCAATGCTCATTTGAATATTACTGACGAGCGGCTTCAACTGAGAACCTTCGCTATCGGTCACTACAGCTGCGATCACTGGCCTGGACACGCCACAGGCACGACCCAAAGCTAGAATAGGACGGCACTGCATATCAAAATACAAGAAATCGAATATAAAATCGCAGGTACTGATAACAAACTCACCTTGTTGAGATGGAATAAAAATGTACGGTACATTTTTGTCCTCACAGACAAGAGGAATGTGCAGAACGATTTCGATTGGGCTGGTATCTGCAGCCATAACGACAAACTCGGCTTTTCCGCGATTCAAAGCTTTGGTGGCTTCATTGGCACCCTTTTTCAGCTGTTTGTAGGATGCGGCTTGCTTTAGTAACTCAATAATCTTTCCAGTTAACTCCGGACTAGCCAGAGGGTATGCTTTGGGATTGACTTCTTCAGCCTGTGTAAAATAAAGCGATATCAAAGACATACAATAGTCCAAATAAAAGCATGCATTGAAAGCATAATATTCCAGCTTTCGAAAGTCACCAGCTTTTGCAAAAGCTAAACTAGAGGAAGACATCAAATGAACAATTACACTTTGAAATACCACGTAATGGCACCTAAAAGCATGGGAAATAACTAAGTGAATCAAAACTTTGTTTCGAAAAACAGCGACCAGGTACTCACCATCACCACGATGAGATCTAAAAATTTCACAGACCAGAATCATTTACTTAAACAAACGAGGAACATGTGCAAAAATACAAAAAATGCAATTGCCACCAAATTTCTGCCTAATTATTTGACAACAAATGCAGAAAGCTTAATCTGATAAAAAGCTGAACCAATATTTCAATGATTTTGTGTGTTATACGCCATTCTTCAAAATGGTCAGCTCTTTAGTTTGTAAAAATGATATCAAATTCGCCCTTTGAATTAAACAATAGGCGAGAGAAACAACTGGATGCGCTGTCACTTTTGCGCCGTCACGCTGGCTTCGGAGAGACAAGTCTCAAATCAGCAAATTTCAGTTTCAATTAAAGCGCTTTTATCTGCTCACTCTTAAAGGTATCCGTTTATTTTCTTCGGAATTTTGTTCCTCTAGCTTCGTTAAGATGTATCTATTGTAGTGTCCCTAGCCTTCCTGATAGATATTAAGAAACATACTAGTCGGTTTTAATATATATATATATATATCCATGCCAAGTTCAAGGCTTTTGGCACGGCTCTGTGTATCATCTCCCTTAGCAAAAGTGGCTTGGCTGCTCAAGTGGCTAACAATAATGCTGGCAGTTGAACAAACAATTTGTAAGTTTGAATTTTTAGCGAATATTTTGCATAACACAATTTTCCATTTTAATTAATGTTATTCTCAATCGTCCGAGACTTTCTCAAAGAAAGAAGAGGCATAAGCCTTGGGCTTACCATACATTTCCATGGAACAAAAAAGGATGCGTGTCTGAGTAAGATGCTTAGGTGGCTTAAACCGAAATTGGTAGTCAAGCAAACAGTATTACAGGACCTTACGATTTCATTCATTCATGGTTTTGAAAAGGGTCCCATGTTCAATATAGGGGTGACAAACCTTCCATGCAGCAATTGAAAACCACTTTGTTACTCTCAATTAAGAAAATCGAAGGTTTACTGAAATTTCTCCTTCCATTCCCCTTCCTTATGGTCACACCTAGGAAGAGAAGTTTGACTGTTCTAGGCCACTATCGATAACGTTGGGGTAACAACGGGAAGATAGCAAACTATTGTACGAGCTCCATTAGAGTTCGAATGAGATCCGGGTTGGGTTCTCCAAACAAAGAGCTATAGGCATCTCAGCGCTGGGCACGGTGAGACTAATGAGACCAACACACTTACTAATGTTTTCGCTGACTTTTGTGTCCTTTAGTATTTTCGCATTTTTTCTCTATATGCAAAAGTTGCAAATAAATCCTTTCCACTTCAAACATCCCACCTATAGGTACAACGTTGATTTGCTGGATGGAGCAAAGATCTCATACTTAAAAATTTTCAGAAGGGGAGGCCAATTTTAAAGCGCTCTTCAAATTGTCAATAGCAGTGAATGATTCCGCCGATCTGTGGAGACCGACGAGAAAGCGCTCCCCGCAAGAGCAGATATTCGCCTAGACACTGAAACTGTTACCCAAAGTCCCTTCGGCAATCTGTATGGACTCGTAAGCATGAAAGATAGTGTCGGCATTGATTTGAGCCCTTTAAGTTGGAGGGATATTTGCTTTGCAGTCACGGGGTGTACTCAAGTGTTTGAACAGGGTCAGACCCAACCTCTGCCTGACGGCAACTCCAAACTTTTGCACTTCCTGAGAAATCGCCTTTATTGTCACATACTTTACAGAATGAACTCAAGTTTAAAAGAGGCCTCAATCATCACAAATTAGAATTCAGTGTCGTCTTAAAGAGCAAGATTTTCTCACCAGACCCTCTCGATTTGCGCCTTGTTCACCCAGGCTTGAGTGCGAGTGCTGCAGTCGAGAGATAACGTCATGACATCCATCCATGGTCCCAATGATTTTGATGTTTCTAGCGTTTTGAGACCTAATCTCTGAGAGGATGAAGTTGATTGTATAAGAAACAGCATCACGAATCCAGTGGGCGCTCAACCTAACTTCCTGCCTTAAGAGGCAGACAGAGGATCATACGCAGTTTTGAGGAAGATACAGGCAGATTGGTGTGCAGTACAAAATAGTTCCGAACGGAGACAAATTTTCATTCAATGCGGGCGATATCGTAACTTTCTCCATTCGCCGCATACGCAAATCGTAAAAAGTACAATCACGAGAGTTTAAAGAATTAATATGGAGGGTGAAAGTGTAAGGAACCGGGGTATACATAAAGGAGGGTTACGTAATGCGCGAAAACAAGGTCAACCTAAATGGCAAGGCCTTGGGAAGAGAGAGGAGGACAGACTGTACAGGGAAGGTGGTTGCGGTCGTGGAACGCACAAAGGTACGCAAGACTCGCAAATGAATGACCGGACGGACGGGACAGTCGTAAGTTGCAGGATATATCGCAGTTTGAGTAGTCCACGCAAACCAGCATGCTATTTGCCCACCTGAGAAGCAATCCATTCTAGGCCCTGAGTAAGGCTAAAATTAAAAGGATTGTAAAGTGACATACCGCATTCCCAGAAGCATTTCCAGAACACGGCGCCTATCCTACTTCTACTATCACTTTTACGAACTGGGTACTGTTGTAGTGAAACAGCTGCACTGGATTCATAGAACTATAAACGATTGTACCGAGTGTCTTGGAATTCCTCTCCAATGTAAATCAGTTAATTGGGTTCCATGACGCTACTATCCTTCATCCTACAGGTAATACTGTCTATGCAGGCCGTGTTTGCCTCATCCCGCTTGTACACCAGATTACAAGGCAGCTGAAATAGCCCTTTACTACCAATTAACTAATCACCTGAGAAAAATCCACTTCATTGCGCAGTGTTTATTTGGCGATTACACCTTCGATTGAAGGGAAACTTCAAGTGTTTTCCTCGTTTTTGACCAAGCAAGCAAGCTATTTGACTATTTCAACACTAAAGCTCTAGAGGGCATAACAGCGTTGGAAGTCGTGATACTAGCCCTCAAGGCCTGGCAATGACTCCCGAGGACATGACCCGCCAACGCGTCTTCCAAAACCTTTAATGTTTTCTCAGCACATTACGCCCACCTTTCTGTCAACCAATTGATAACAGTAAAAGGCACATAACAATTCGTCTCCGGCTTGGAAGGTCACATCACGCAATTAGAACGCAAAACTGCCTCAGTGGCCTTGGATAAGGCATAGTATTGATTGTCGATTTAATCAACAGTTAACGGTCTGGCGCCGATCGAAGCAGTTCCCACAGATGATTATTCCTCCTGGATGGCGTGTTTTCAAGATTGTTTAAGCGACCTGTACCGATCAGAGGAGAATAAATCTCAATCAGTTTGGCTCTTCTTGTAAGCTAGTATTTCAACGGGTAGTAATATTAATACGGAGCTGTTTTAACAAAAATGTTAAAGAACATTTACCATGAAGAGACAATGGTAGGTGAAAGGCACCCTGAGTCACAAATCAAAAGCAATGAACCAATCCTCAAGGGATAATTCCAACCCATAAAAGTTGTCGGATTTAATTCGGACAAAATTGCAGGAAACACCAACCTCAGTGGCATTTAACTCTCTATGAAGGGAGTCTTACAATGAACAATAAGTAGTTTTTAGTCAAGATTGTGTAGAGCAAAACTGAGCACTATTTTTTCCACCAGGTAACACCGAAAAACAAGCTTTCGCCTTCCGCACACACAAAAACCATCAAGAGTATGCGGTTCTGAAGGCGGAAAATGATAATGGAAGCGTCCAAAATAAACTTAGTCTATTTATAAAGGGAGGTGCCTCACAAATGACGTGAATAAATACGCACACAGTCAGTTGCTGGATTAACGCCTACGGCGCATATGACGTTTTGCAATAGTAAGGTTACTGCGTATTTGAAGGATAGCAAGTTTGTACAATAGACCTTTGTGCAATTCTGCAACCAAATGCTGCGACCAGATGAGGGTGCACCAATGGGAGTGGGAATGATAAAGTTGCTTTTTTACGATTGCTCAGGTCAACAGAATTGGGTTTTACTCAAAATAATCTCACACTCAAAGTATAACGTGGAAGTCCATTGGCGCACCGATTTGGTATGAACTGCTCTTAAAAACATGGAGTCCCGTGATTACTAACTACTTAACCGCTAGTATGAGCCTTGGTGAAAGTGCTTCTACCGCAACATTCGGGTGTTTATGCGACGGAATTGCGGCTGCAGATTATACTAATCGAACACAAGCATGAAAATCACAAAGGCACCAAACTGTTCACGCACAAAGTGCATATTAACTAAGACGCTTACAAAAGCAGCACTGTATTTACAGATGCTCCATACCGAGTTCACCAATGCAAGGCACAAAAGACGTTGATCAAAGACATTACAGCTAACTTATATTTCATGTTGCCGTCAGTACTGATGATACCATTGGAACGCCTAGGTAGCACGCCAAATGGGATATAATTCAACTGGTATCTACTGCTTCCCTATTTTATTTCACCAGAAAAATGCAACCTCCATGGAACAAAATGCGCAGAAAAAGAAGAGAAAAAGAATGCGCAGCCAAAAAGGGTCGCTTTGCCTCAAAATGAAAAATAAGCGACTTTTATAATCCGCAGTATCGTATACAACTCTCAAGCGTTTATATAAAGAAAATCGCTCCTGAGAATACTTGCAGCAGAATAAATTTAGGTGCTTAAAATGCGCTATAGAGCATGAGGATCAAAGTGAGAGATAAAGCGCAATGCTTGCTTTTATTAGGTAATGGAAACAATCCGGACGCAGACGAGTCTGATCTACGCCAAGCAAGAAGATACCATTGAAAAAAATTTTCATCCACATACCCTTCCCCAGTGAGTGCACAGCAAGCTTGGATATGCCAAGTGTGATCCTTGATTGACGTCAGATTCAGCTTATGCCCTACCTCTGCCACCGACATGCAACCGACGACATCCTGTTTGTTGGCAAAGATGAGGATCTTCGCCTTGCGCAAATCCTCTGACGTCAAGATGGCATGGAGCTCTGACATTGAGAGAGGGAGTCGGTCACGGTCAGTGCTGTCAATGACGAGGATAACAAACTCTGAACCGGCATAATAAGTACTCCACGTGGGTCGCAGCGACTCCTGTCCACCAAGATCCCACATGACGAGATGAAGATTTCCCCACTTGAACTCCTCCACATTGCTACCAATAGTGGGAGAGGTCTGAACTGCCTCATTCAGTACAAACTGGTAAAGGATAGTTGACTTGCCCGCATTGTCCAGGCCCACAAGCACTATCTTGGTGCCCTCGGGACGAAAGAAACTCCATATTCGTGACAGTAACACGCCCATGAAGGGGCGCTAGTGGAATCGTTGTCTAAAATTTAGGCAACGTTGTTAGAACCGCTGCTATACTTAACTCTCACAGTAAGTTTGCAGAAGCCTCATAACACGAGCGAGTACATAGGTCTAACGGCAAGACAAACTATTCCAGGCAATAAAAACAAGCTAATTTTAGCGACAAAGGTTTAAAAAAAGCTATTCCATGCAAAATAACATGCTCCCACGAGATGTCCTGCGCAATAATTGTGTGAACATTAAAATGAAAGGGAAGGTAGGAATAGCGTGCTGCTCTTAATATTGAAAGATGGATGAGAAGCTGTAAATAAATTTTAAAAAATTACTGCACACGATTGGACGTCGCAAATTAATCTTCAAAAATTGATAAGTGAATCATGGGGATCAACCAGGACTCCAGAGGGGAATGCTAGCAACCCACCTGATCAAACTGAGCGCTTTTGATTGTATAATTTAAAACCTTTTATAAATCGGTTAAAATGCGTCACTTTTTATTTTTAGGTTTAATGCTAAGCTTATATGCAGCTGAATAATTATCACGCTTATCTGATTATTTGTTATAGGTATTGATTGTTTAAGATCTAGCATCTTACTAAATACAATCGAGTGTTGGTGTTACCTTGACCTCGTTTTGATGTTAATTAAAAATGCGTAAGCTATTGTAAGAATTATTTTAACGGTCATTCCAGTGCCCCTAATCTCTACATTTCGTATAAGAAGGCATTACGTTGGACTGAAAACATTTAGTCGCGGAGGAGAATTAGGAATTAGGCTTTGACTTGAATTGAGAACCAGCCCACACTTATGACATCAATACAAAGTGCCTAAAGTGGTCTCATGTTCATATTCAAAAGTTCCAATGCTTCCTTTCTGAAAACATTTGTCTTAAAGCCTCAAGGCTTGTAAGTTATCAATAGCAATAAATGCAGCAAGAAAATCATTGGTATTTTTACTAACATCGGCACTTTGTGTAATGTCTCTCTAGTCCTCACTTTTTCGAATAAAGTACTAATTAAGCTTGGAGAGCAAGAAGGCTAAAGGCTGTTCTTCGACATGTTCTGGCAAGTTAGGCCACTCTGCACCTATGCTGTTACATAAGCAAAGTACAGTATTGGTACCTTTCAATCTCGGTTTCTTGAGTGGATCCGGCTGACTTTTTGGAGAGAAGTCTATCGTACGATCACCAACAATATTTGCAAAGTATAGCCAGCTTAGTCCTTATGAGGGAATAATGAAATATACGTCAGTGCTAAAGCCCTGTGGAATACCTTTCAGAATTTTCGATTTGTCAGCTTCAAAATCCTTTAGAGTGTGATTATTACATTTTTTATGTATTCCCTTCAGAAGACTGTATTTTAAAGCCTTCTAATCGTAATAGATTAGATGGTAACAATAAAATAGTATTCAAATATATTCATATAAAGGATTATAACGATTAAAGACTTTTCGTTCGGTTGTAGAATGCATTGGGCATAGCTAAAAATATTGCCCTTTAGACAGGTGAAGACGTACGGATTTAGCACGGTAGTCTTGTAGGCGAAGTATTACAAGTCGCTTAACAAAATTTCGTTGTCTCTATTATAAGTGCAGTGGACTCACTTGTATCCTGTATAGATGAATAATGGTTTTCCATTTACCTTGTGATAGCGTGTCCTTCTTCCTGTCAGCAGTTGTCAACCTGATGGAATAGACGATTTTGACAAAAGCAAGTTTAGCGGTAAAAAAGTAGATAATGCCAAGAGGCTACGAAGCACATATTTACCGACCATCTTTTGACGTTCAGGTCCATTTTAGCACATTAATTTTGTCACAGAAATAATAGCTCCTCCCCCGTAATCTACAGAAAAAAATTATTAAAATTATGGAACTTATGTAAAGAATTGACATAAATGATTGTTAGGCTCAGTCTCTTTCCTGACTTTGATCTTCGTGCACCACAATTTTTTTCTTTTATTGGAGGTGGATGTAAAACTAGTATCAAATGAACCCTTAGATTTGTCGTTATTGTTAGAATCATTTTGCAATCACAACTCTTAGCACTCAATTTCGGACCAATTTAGTATGAATGGCAGGTTTTCTGCCATTTCCGTTTGCAGTTATGGTCATGTACTTTAAATTTCTAAAAGGATTGCATGTGATCTTGGGCAAATTTAACTTCACTTTTAAGCGGCTATGTAAGTGAACCAAATCTATCCACATTGCTGCAAGGGAATGGTTGGTCTTTGTGCATTTCAGGCCTCACACCTGAAACATTACCGTCCCAGCCTTCAAACAGGCTAACGGTCACGAATAAGGTTGGCTAACTTGAAACTCCTGCTACTTTGAACCAATTTTGGGCTGCAGACTGATGACAAGTGAGTTGAATGCAAAATCGGGTACAACCGGGTAGAAGAAATTCTGGGAAAGTTTTTGTCTTGACAAAGCAGTGTTTGAATGAATTCTACGTCCTAAGACTTCCCTGAAGTCGAGCAAAGGCATAAAGCAATGCTGGAATGTGTGGTGGCAAGGTAGAGGAGGCCAAAAGCCTATTTATCCACCTTTACTTGTCCCTATAAATAGGTACCAAAACTTAAACAAATAATCATTGTATTACATAGGCATCATAGCTTCCACCATAAACGTCTGTAAAGGTTGCCTGGTTTTGAATTTCATAAAGTTCAAGGCTTGTAATTCAACAATCAATTCTTAGCTCAGCATAATTATGCTACCGCTTAAAGCTTAAAAGCAGAACACTCACAGATTTAGCAATGTTGGTGGGAGCTAACCTGGTGGGAGATCAGATAAAGGCTCAGGACGAACATTAGCAGCTTGAGTAACGAGCACCCGGACTTATGGTTACCCAAACAGCGGAATAACAAGGCAATACTTCAAAGACATTCTTGCGCCACTCCCAAAATAGGCACATTGGAGTGCGTCCAAAGGCCAGAGAGAACAGAGACAGCCAGCACAATCCCATACCGGAAATATCAACATATCGAGTCAGATGCCCATTTTCATTCGCAAGAGGCTCTGTGTTAGTCCTTCATTCCCCAAAAAAACACACATTAGGCATATAGGGGTATGGTGGTCCACCCACCTATGCAGTTAAGCTCAACTTGCAACGCTAATTTTATTGCTGAAAGTGCTACTCTAGCTTATACAAGTCATCGCATGGCTAATACACTTTCTGCCCGTCTAACAACACACCAAACCATCATGGCTGTCTAAAATCATCGCCTGATATTACCGATAAGCGAAATCTATATCGAGGCAAAATCATCTTTAATCATGCGTTTCCCATTCTAAAAGACTCTTTTACTTTTAAATTGCTAAACTTGTAGGTAGATTAACTCACTTCCTCCTTTTTGGTAAATAAGTGATTTTAAACAAATAGCAACTAAGCGTAAAACAGGTTTCAACTTCTATGGATGCTTTACTTTCATGAATTAATCACAACTTAGCATATTCACCGTTAGCTCTGAATCAACTCTTCGATCTACCAGCCCGTGACATTTCGTCCGTTAAGGGTAAAGCTTACTTCTAAACTTTACCTTTGAATATGCACTCAGTACTGTCGAGTGGAATACTAATAATAATGCCTTTGCAACTGGCATTCTTGTCTCCCAAAATCACTCCAACCGTCACCGTACTTGCAGTGTTATGACATATCCGCTGCTGGCCCTATGGTTTGCATATTTTGATGATGGAAGCAGAAGGTGGTAACTTTTAAAGTCGCTGGGGAATAAACATTCGAGTGCAAAAAATTGCATAGAACGTGGTGCACTCAGAGCTTCAGATCCCCAGCAAAAGGCAGTACAAACAGAACAAAGTGGCAGAAGGCTAATTTTGGTTGGTACTTGCAAAGTTCCCCAACATTTTAAAGGTTAACCAACACTAATACCTCGGTGTATGAAGTGCTCTTTGTGTCAAGACTCGGAGAAAGCATTCACGTAAGTAATGCACAATGTGCTGTGGAGAATGGAATAGGAAAACTGGTTTGCCTGAAAAGGGCGGAAAGTTTGCGCATTCTCCTTCGCCTAAGTGCATTCAAACCATCGTGGACTTGACTGGATGCTCGCGGGTCCATTCCTTTTGTTCATATTTTGCGGCAACCACAACAATTGTTTCATCCTTATAACTACACCCTTACTTAACCCTTTGCATGCCATTCACTTTTCACGTCAATTTGTTTGTGGTCAAAGTAGGGATTGTCCGCGTAACCTGTCAACCCAAATTCACGAATGTGCTTGTCATAATTTGACAAATGTAAATCAGATATACGCCACAAATGAGCGCTTTCCATACCACAAATGTAAATACTTTTCAATGCTAGAAATAATTACCTGGTATTCTTCACTGCTTGATGAAATCTTCAGTCTGTCCCTACCAAATGAGTTTTTAAAAGTTTATGTAGCAAAAGCTGAGCAACTGAAAGGAGTTTCTTGCAGTTCAATTATCTATATTAATGATAAAAGCTTGCATGCAAAGATTTTATTTTCACCATCTCCATAGTTCAGTTCCTGGTTCCATGATTTATCGACAGGAAACCATGTTCTCCTCCTCCCAGACCTGTCAATCATCGCACCAATTAATTGTACGTTATGCGATTTGTACTTCCTTGCATAATAAAACTTTTTATCAACCGCATACTTCCTTTAGCTAGCATAAGGGTAAGACTTTTTTTCTTACTTATCTTGTCGGGTTATAAAATTAAACTCTTCGTCGTAATAGTTTGGTCGTGGCTGAGTGGACAATACCGCCTGTAGGTCACCACACGCGCCTCCGCATGAGGTGTGGTGAGGCGGGGCTTCGGCGCCTCGTGCAAAGAACGTGTAATGTGTGGGGTGGATTAAGCACTCAGAAGGTACAAAAGCATTATGGATCGCAAAAGCTGTGCCCGATCCTAAGCTAGCCAGAAAAATCCGACTCACATGTAGGCGGTGAGTGAAGAGGGTGGGGAGCGTAAAGTGGCGGCAATTGAGCTCATCAGTCATTGACGAATGAATGTGGTGACC